TTCAAATCTTCTTCAGAAGTATGAAATAAGAACAAATGTTTACTTAAAAACTGTTGATAACTCTTGCAGTTATTGAACCATTTTAATTGGTATCATCTACTTTACAATAAGCAAACAAAACTTCAAAAACCTGTTCAGTATTATGTCTAACGCCAGTTTCTAAATTTTCCATATTCGCTCTAACTAATAAATACATTTAGTCTATATAAAAACGAATAATGTACTACTGAAGTACAATATGCGCTGAAAGACCTCAACACAGCTATACAGTGCATCATAACTCATAACATCAAGAGTGAACACACACACACACACACTCACACACACACACACACACACTGTTATGTTGTCACCCAGTGGGGGGTCACGGCGGGCTGGGTAGATCCTCTCACACAGTGGAGGAAGTCCTTCACTCGTCACCCCTGACCTTGCTGCTCCTCCTCGTATATATGCCGGTAACCTCCGCCACAACATCACACCCACCGCCGCCTCCACCAGACACACATCTCTCCTGCTGGAATTTCTAATACTGGAAGTGAAGCTGTAAATAAAGTGTTGCTACACCTTCCAGACATGGCTGCTGTGACACGCAAAGTTATGGTGCTGGGTAAGAACCAACACAGCCGTCCCGCAGACGAGACCACAGAAGGAATGACTTGTGAATGACCACCAATGTTGTACATCCACATTACTGTACTAGTGACACTTCTACTGTGACCTGACTCTTGTGTTATAACTAAACCAGACTGTTGATATACATGGTGCTATGATCCACAAGTTCTTCATTACTTATTATGTGACGTAACAAATAGTGGACAACAGACAGGAAAATATATCAATAATGATTTTAGTAATTTCCAGATAATTAATGTTATATTCTATTTAAAATACAACCAACAATACAAGTAAAACTTAACAAACAATAATGACGAGTCGAGAAGAATTATCAGTTTAAGATTCATTAATATATTAAACAGGCTTATCAAACATTTCACACCACCAGTTGTTCCAATATAATATTCTGTTCACCAGAAGAACTTTGACTCACCCATAATGTGTAATAATTGCAATGTTATGTATCTATTTTGGAGTAACACCACAAATACTTTATTGATACATAATTTCAGCTTTTAGGACACATAACATCAATAATCTTCATCAATATTAAGTAGTCTGTTCCTTAGACACTGTGCAGGTGTGGTCTCTCTCGTGGACACTGTTGATGATGTCACTGTCTTTATCACTCCTGTTGGGTTAGTCTCAGCCTCAATAGGTAAAACCTACTTAGTTTTTTTTACTTTATTTTCAACAAACTGACGTAAATGTTTCCTTGGTTCTCACTCACTTAGCTCTCCTGGGTGTGACCAGCGCCGCCTACCTCAACGACCTCCAGGGTCCTGCTGCCAACCAGTTCTCTCTTCCTAACGGTAACGGTGGAGGTAACAGAGGTTACGGTGGTGGTAACAGTGGAGGTAACGGGGGTTATAGTGGTGGAAACGGTGGGGGTAACGGAGGCAACGGTGGGGGAAGTGGAGGCTACGGCGGTAGCAACGGTGGAGGCAACGGTGGCAACGGAGGAGGATATGGTGGTAGTAACGGCAGAGGTAACGGAGGAATCGGAGGCAACGGTGGAGGTAACGGAGGATACAACGGAGGTAGCGGTGATCCTATTGCTGACCTCGCTGACGCCATCCCTGGCGGTGGCGTCCCCGGCCAGGACTACCCCATCCTCGCCTTTGTCCCCAACACCGGCTTCTCCTGTGACGGTCAACTTCCCGGCTACTACGCCGACACTGCTCCCGAGGCCGGCTGCCAGGTGAGTCTATACTCTCTGGTTATTCTTTGTGTCCCATTTCGCTATTATACAGTGTATAACCATGACGACATCCACCTTAACATTCAAAATTATTTTGTACATTTTTCTTTGGACCATAAAAATTATATTTACTATTGGAAAACAACAACATCCAAAGAACTTATTTAAGTCAACATTCTCAGGTGTTCCACATCTGTCAACAAGGTGGCAGGATCGACTCCTTCCTGTGTCCCAACGGCACCATCTTCAACCAGCAGTACTTCGTGTGTGACTGGTGGTACAACTTCGACTGTTCCACCGCTGAACAATTCTACGACCTCAACTCTCAAATTGGACAAACTAATGGAAATGGCAATGGTTATGGCACTGGAAATGGTAATGGCAACAATGGTTACAATGGTGGTAATGGTGGCAGATTTGGCGGTGCTTCAGGTCTTCAAGGATCGTTCTCAACCACATCTGGCGGAAGCGTCAATGGTGGTTCTCCTTCCAGATTGTATGATACCCCAACCAACAACGCCAACGGTGGTAATGGCAACCAAAACAACCAAACTCCATCTAGCCTCTACCAGACACCTGGCAAATAAACTCAATTGGTTATGCTTCACGACAAATTCTAAATGGTGTTTTCGTTTAATGACTTTTACATCACATTTTCCTATTCTCCATGTTAGTTGTCCTGAGAACACTCCGTCTTGTCCCTACAGCCATTAAACGTAAACATCATTTAGAGTGAGACAATAAGAGCTACACACCTGTTGATGACTTACCTGTTCTTCTTAACTAATTAGAGACTCGTCGACTATTTTACTGTTATTTCATATTTTATGTATATAGTTATATATTATTCCCTATTCGGTATCTTACCAAATTTCATACTTATTCAATCTAATAGGATGTCTATTATGTTAGAGTGCGGTGTTACTCCGGTGCCATATTGATCTGAGAACCTTTGATATGTTTTATACGTGCAATACAAATAAAAAATCATAAACATTACATATCAATTCCAATTAACCTTTCGTCTTTAAATAAATTGATTCACAACCAGCCTGTCGGTAGGTAGAGGAGAGGGCGAGTCAGCATAGAGAAAGTTGACTTGGGTAGTGTTCAGGTGGACGAGTGTGTTCCGTCCCCACAGAGAGTTAATGACTTGTATACGGTGTTAGGGTTGCCTCCAGGTTGGTAGGCGAGGTACAGGAGTAACAGCGGTAAAACATGAGAACTGAAGCAGTGAATGTCTTAAACACTGAGGAATGATATTATAATGGGGGAGTCAGTACAAGAGAAATTGTTTAAGTGAAGAATTTAATAGGTAAATATTTTATGTGAACCCCAACGATAAGGAAAAATAGGACATCATTATGTGATATACCACAGATGATGAAAGAAGATTTTTAGAAGGAATATTCACCGAGTCTCTTATAATGGGTCAATAGTTGCTGAACTGTAGGGTCTTGGAGGGTTGGAAGACCTTTGTGGAAGAAGATGGAGTAACGAAATATCCAGTGAACATAATTATGGTCCAACACACACTGATGGATGGCGGTAATGAAGGTACACGATGACGCTAACACTGGGAGTACTGACGGAGGCCGCAACCGCCAGTAGCTCCGTGTACAGTTGCCACAGACTGGAAGGCGTCCCTCAATAACGGCGGGAGTTTTCATGTCTTGTCTTGTAGAGAAAGAGGAGGTGAAAGAAGAGTGTAATAGAAGAACAGAATATTTAGTGAGTTAAAGAGACTTAGGTAGTAGATAACAAGTGTAAAATAATACACTATACAACATACACATATACAGTACGTGGATGTTTGTACTTACTGGTAGATGTTTTATCTCCTGCTTGTTTGCCTACAGCAGGTGTGTGTGTGTGTGTGTGTGTGTGTGTGTGTGTGTGTGTGTGTGTCTGAATTACTAGCATATTTATCAGTCATTTTCTATCTCCTCTCTCCAAATTACAAAACTTGCCCAACCAGCGGCCCGCGGGCCACATCCGGCCCTCAAACAATTCCACAAATCAAGGCGCCAAAGTAGGCGCCATCATCGTATCCGATATACTATTTTTGTTTATATGTTTAACTTTTAACATAGATTTTTCATAATATTATACCGGTATCTTTTGTGTTGGTTCCTAATGACTAATTATATAATGTTATGAAGAATCCGATAATAATTTATCAGGACACCACACATACAGTTGTACGTCTCAACGCTCAGATTGGACACAGAAAATGAAACGTTAATGGCAATGCTTACAGCACAAAAATGGTAATAGATATGGCATGAACTGACAATGGCAATTATAGTTACAACATTAAATTGTGGTCAGATTTGGCGGTGCCTCAAGTTTTCAAGGATCGTTCAAAACCACATCTGGCGTAAACGTGAATGGTGGTTCTCCTTCCAGGTTGTATGATACCCCCAACCAACAACGCCAACGGTGGTCATGGCAACCAAAACAACCAAAACAACCAAACTCCACCTGGCCTCTCTCAAACACCTGGCAAAGAATCTTGTGTTTAGATCTGGTCGCTGTGGTATTACTGGATTCAGCACCTTCAGGCTTTTTGTTCATCTAAGTGATTGTTCCCCTGTAGGTACACAACTGTTCAAACTTCAGATAAAAATTAAACCTATATTGAAATTAACGTTATGTCTCAAGGCGAAGTAGAAGTGAATATAGGTAATATATGTAACAATGAAGAGATACGTCTTTCAAATCTTCTTCAGAAGTATGAAATATGAACAAATGTTTACTTAAAAACTGTTGATAACTCTTGCAGTTATTGAACCATATTAATTAGTATCATATACTTTACAATAAGCAAACAAAACTTCTAAAACCTGTTCAGTATTATGTCTAATGCCAGTTTCTAAATTTTCCATATTCGCTCTAACTAATAAATACATTTAGTCTATATAAAAACGAATAATGTACTACTGAAGTACAATATGCGCTGAAAGACCTCAACACAGCTATACAGTGCATCATAACTCATAACATTAAGAGTGAACACACACACACACACACACTGTTATGTTGTCACCCAGTGGGGGGTCACGGCGGGCTGGGTAGATCCTCTCACACAGTGGAGGAAGTCCTTCAATCGTCACCCCTGACCTTGCTGCTCCTCCTCGTATATATGCCGGTAACCTCCGCCACAACATCACACCCACCGCCGCCTCCACCAGACACACATCTCTCCTGCTGGAATTTCCAATACTGGAAGTGAAGCTGTAAAGAACGTGTTGCTACACCTTCCAGACATGGCTGCTGTGACACGCAAAGTTATGGTGCTGGGTAAGAACCAACACAGCCGTCCCGCAGACGAGACCACAGAAGGAATGACTTGTGAATGACCACCAATGTTGTACATCCACATTACTGTACTAGTGACACTTCTACTGTGACCTGACTCTTGTGTTATAACTAAACCAGACTGTTGATATACATGGTGCTATGATCCACAAGTTCCTTCTTTACTTATTATGTGACGTAAAAAATAGTGGACAACATACAGGAAAATATATCAATAATGATTTTAGTATTTTCCAGATAATTAATGTTATATTATATTTAAAATACAACCAACAATACAAGTAAAACTTAACAAACAATAATGACGAGTCGAGAAGAATTATCAGTTTAAGATTCATTAATATATTAAACAGGCTTATCAAACATTTCACACCACCAGTTGTTCCAATATAATATTCTGTTCACCAGAAGAACTTTGACTCACCCATAATGTGTAATAATTGCAATGTTATGTATCTATTTTGGAGTAACACCACAAATACTTTATTGATACATAATTTCAGCTTTTAGGACACATAACATCAATAATCTTCATCAATATTAAGTAGTCTGTTCCTTAGACACTGTGCAGGTGTGGTCTCTCTCGTGGACACTGTTGATGATGTCACTGTCTTTATCACTCCTGTTGGGTTAGTCTCAGCCTCAATAGGTAAAACCTACTTAGTTTTTTATACTTTATTTTCAACAAACTGACTTAAATGTTTCCTTGGTTCTCACTCACTTAGCTCTCCTGGGTGTGACCAGCGCCGCCTACCTCAACGACCTCCAGGGTCCTGCTGCCAACCAGTTCTCTCTTCCTAACGGTAACGGTGGAGGTAACAGAGGTTACGGTGGTGGTAACAGTGGAGGTAACGGGGGTTATAGTGGTGGAAACGGTGGGGGTAACGGAGGCAACGGTGGGGGAAGTGGAGGCTACGGCGGTAGCAACGGTGGAGGCAACGGTGGCAACGGAGGAGGATATGGTGGTAGTAACGGCAGAGGTAACGGAGGAATCGGAGGCAACGGTGGAGGTAACGGAGGATACAACGGAGGTAGCGGTGATCCTATTGCTGACCTCGCTGACGCCATCCCTGGCGGTGGCGTCCCCGGCCAGGACTACCCAATCCTTGCCTTTGTCCCCAACACCGGCTTCTCCTGTGACGGTCAACTTCCCGGCTACTACGCCGACACTGCTCCCGAGGCCGGCTGCCAGGTGAGTCTATACTCTCTGGTTATTCTTTGTGTCCCATTTCGCTATTATACAGTGTATAACCATGACGACATCCACCTTAACATCCAAAATTATTTTGTACATTTTTCTTTGGACCATAAAAATTATATTTACTATTGGATAACAACATCCAAAGAACTTATTTAAGTCAACCTTCTCAGGTGTTCCACATCTGTCAACAAGGTGGCAGGATCGACTCCTTCCTGTGTCCCAACGGCACCATCTTCAACCAGCAGTACTTCGTGTGTGACTGGTGGTACAACTTCGACTGTTCCACCGCTGAACAATTCTACGACCTCAACGCACAAATTGGACAAACTAATGGAAATGGCAATGGTTATGGTACTGGAAATGGTAGTGGCAACAATGGTTACAATGGTGGTAATGGTGGTACCTTAGCGGTGCTTCAGGTCTTGCTGATCGTTCTCAACCACATCTTGGAGCAAGCGTCAATGGTGGTTCTCCCCTTCCAGGTCTCTAAGGATAATCTTCAAACCAACAACGCCAACGGTGGTACTGGCAACCAAAAACAACCAAACTCCATCTAGCCTCTACCAGACACCTGGCAAATAAACTCAATTGGTTATGCTTCACGACAAATTCTAAATGGTGTTTTCGTTTAATGACTTTTACATCACATTTTCCTATTCTCCATGTTAGTTGTCCTGAGAACACTCCGTCTTGTCCCTACAGCCATTAAACGTAAACATCATTTAGAGTGAGACAATAAGAGCTACACACCTGTTGATGACTTACCTGTTCTTCTTAACTAATTAGAGACTCGTCGACTATTTTACTGTTATTTCAGATTTTATGTATATAGTTATATATTATTTCCTATTCGGTATCTTACCAAATTTCATACTTATTCAATCTAATAGGATGTCTATTATGTTAGAGTGCGGTGTTACTCCGGTGCCATATTGATCTGAGAACCTTTGATATGTTTTATACGTGCAATACAAATAAAAAATCATAAACATTACATATCAATTCCAATTAACCTTTCGTCTTTAAATAAATTGATTCACAACCAGCCTGTCGGTAGGTAGAGGAGAGGGCGAGTCAGCCTTGAGAAAGTTGACTTGGGTTTTGTTCAGGTGGACGAGTGTGTTCCGTCCCCACAGAGAGTTAATGACTTGTATACGGTGTTAGGGTTGCCTCCAGGTTGTTAGGCGAGGTACAGGAGTAACAGCGGTAAAACATGAGAACTGAAGCAGTGAATGTCTTAAACACTGAGGAATGATATTATAATGGGGGAGTCAGTACAAGAGAAATTGTTTAAGTGAAGAATTTAATAGGTAAATATTTTATGTGAACCCCGACGAGAGGGAAAAATAGGACATCATTATGTGATATACCACAGATGATGAAAGAACATTTTTAGAAGGAATATTCACCGAGTCTCTTATAATGGGTCAATAGTTGCTGAACTGTAGGGTCTTGGAGGGTTGGAAGACCTTTGTGGAAGAAGATGGAGTAACGAAATATCCAGTGAACATAA